CTATCATTACAAATTAAATTTAACCCTAGAATAATAGTTACATTTACTTCTTCCTAAAAAATGTGAGTCTAGATTTCAGTTAAAAAAGCAATTTGTGAACCCTGGCAATCTAGTATGAACTTCGGAGTCATACGCCAGGCAGATGTGGCTGTGGGTCAATTTTCCCATCTTTTTTCCTCTTCTTTTTATGGTGCTGGTTATTGAACTGAGGGCCTTTACATTGGACTACGTTCCCAGTGCTTTTTATTTTTCTTTTGAGACATGGTCTCACTAAGTTGCCTACCTTGGTCTCAAATTTGTGATCATCCTGCTTCAGCTTCCCACCATGCTGGGGTCACAGGTGTACATAGCCACACCTAGCTATCATTTTTGTTTCAAAGGGAATACTGTAACTGCTGATCAAAAAATACGATATGTATTTAAATTAAAAAGAATTGTTTCAGCAAAAAGACACATTGCCATTAACCCTCCTCAAAATACTGCTGCTGTACAGTAGCAAGAATGATGGGGTAATGTGTTTGAAGCGAGGAAGAGGATTATTAGTAATGTGTCTTTGACTCTAATAATTATTTTTTAATGTAAATATTTACTACAGTTTTTGATTATATCTCATATTACCATTTAGGGTCCACACCATAAGTGCTATGATAAGGACAGTTTAACCCATCCAAAAGCATGTTCTGAATTTGAAGATATTTAATTCTTACTGAGAGATATCTTTAATATCATTTATAGTGCATGATGCTTGTCCAAAAAAAATGGTGTAATTAAAATATGAAGATTGGTAGAACATATTCATTTATTTCATAGTGCTGCTAGACAAATTACCGTGAAATTAATGGCTTAATTCAACATAGCCTTATTATCTTACAGAGTTCAATAGATCAAAAGTTTTAAAATCAAGGTGTCCCACAAGACCACACTCCTCTGTAGGCTGCAGGGAGGATTTGTGTGCTGCCTGCCGCCTCCGGGGACAACTGTGTGTCTGAACTCAGACTCCTTCATCAGTCTTCCAGGCTAACTGCACACCATCTCCAGCAGCGTAACATCCTTCTCTCTTCTCTCCTTCCCGCGCCTCTGTGACTTTTATTTCACATCTTCGCTAACTCTGACCCTTTCTCTTCCCTCTTATAAGGAGCCCTGCAGCTATGTCAGGTTTACCTGGGTAATGCAGATAATAATCTCATCTCAACATCCTTCATTGTATCATAAAGTATTTTTTGTCATGTGAGATAACTCTCAAAACCTCTGCCATTGAGAATATACGTATCTTTGAAGAAGAATTCAGGCAGCACATGATTGCTTGTGTTCTAAAATTATTTGTTGTAACTCTAGTTGATGTTTGCTTGCCATACTACAAAAGCTGCTATCAACAGACAGGTGATTTTCCCTTCCTTAATTCAGAAAAATACGCTCCACTTAAAATTGCATTTGAAAAACACACCTCTAAAATGCTTCTTTAGTTTTGATTGTATGGGTTTAACTTGTTAAATGTAATTTTTTCTATGTACCTTGATTTATTGCTAAAAAGGAGAGAAATATGTAAGAATTCAAAACTGTTGGTACTTTGGCACCAAATGTTAAGTCCTTTGTGACGCAGGAGTCTGTCTTTTACCGACACCCATAAAGCTGTACCAGTTTAACACGTTAGCTTGCTGGTAATAGTCTCTTCAAAGAACTTGATATTGGGTATTACAAATAATCATTCCAAAATCCACCACCTTTTTGTTTTAATTGACACATAATATTTTTATACATTTATGGAGCTGAGTATGAGAATTTGAAATGTGTACAGTGTGTAATGATCAAATCAGGATAATTAGCATTTCCTCAAATGTATGTATCATTTCTGTGTTTCAGAAGGCTTCAACTGTTCTAGTTATTTTGAAATATATGATAAATCTTAGTGCTGTAGAACACTACAACTAATTTCGCCTAAGTGTATTTTAATACCTATTATCCTATATTATTCTGTCTCTCTCCCTTATCCTTTTTAACCTTCTAGTAGCTACTATTCAGCTTTCTACTCTATGAGATCAACTATGGCTTTTACATATGCTTGGCATATTTCACTTAACATAATATCTTCTGGTCCAGTTCATGTTGCCACACGTGAGAAGATTTCATCCTTTTATGACTACATAATAGTCCATTGTGTTTATGTGCCGTATTTCCTTTATCTGTGCATCTATGGGTGAGCACTTTGGTTAGTTCAGTGTCTCAGCAGTTGTGAATAGTGCTATGGTAAACATGTGCAGCTGTCTCTTCAACATAATGATGAAATTTTCTTTGGCTGTATCCAGGAGTGGGATTACTGGGTCTTTTGGTACTCTGTTTCTCTTTGCAGTTATTTGAGAAGCCTCCATTCTTTGTTCCCTACTACCTACAGTAATTTACATTCCAAGCAAACATTGTATAAGGGTTCTCTTTCTCTACATGTTTACCAGTATTTGTTACTTTGTTGTGGTTTTGATTTGCATTTTATCTGTTCAGATCATTGGCCTATTTTTGAATCAAATTATTTGAGTTTTTGCTAATAAGTTTTATGAATGTCCTGTGTATACTTAAGAAGATAGAATTTATATTATTAGGATATATTCTAATAAATTCATAAGACAAATCTACCCTATAAACAGATTACTCATGTATCCCTTAACTGTGAGGATGTGTTTCAAGAAATGTGTTGTTAGGAAATGTCACCATCACAGGATCGTCTTAGAGAATACTCATGCAAACTAGGTGTGCTGTCACTGGACAATATAATCTTTGGGAATTGTTCCATTTTTGAAGGAAATACTCTTATATGGCATATAACTATCTTAGTCACTTTCTTGCTTGCCCTTTGCTGGAACGAAATGCCCAACATCTGCAATTTAGTGGAGGGGAGGTTTGTTTGGGCTTACAGAGGTTTCTGTCTATGTTGAGCAGGCTTAAACACAAAGGGCCTGTCTGAAGGGCCCATATGGCCTAACATCCATGTTACTACGGCAGCTGGAAGCAGAGGAAAAGCAGCCAGGGAGAATTTGCTCCCTCCAGGTCTCTGCCTCTCTGACTACACCCCACTTCCTCACTGCAAAGCAGTGAAAAGGGCCTGTGGTCTAGTCCTCCAATCTGTGAGCACATGAGGCCTTTGATGGACATCTTGATCTAAATCATCACAGTAAAAACTGTGTTAGCAACTTCTTGGTAAATGATTTTTCAGTTGAACTTTCACAAACTAGGGCTAGTGTGTCAAAGTCTCTTGTTAATGGTGTTTATCATAGTGTTTATATCTCTCCATTTTCTGTAGTTTCTTCCTTGTATAATTTGCTACTGTGTTTTATTTGATGTGTAGATAGCATAGAGTCAGAAAACTTTGTTTTTCTTCTTTGCCTGACACAACTATCGCATCTGCTTTCTAGTGAATCCTATTTGATTGGTAAATCTTTGCCCACCGCTTTGTTTTTAGTCTTTTTAAATAACCATGTTCTTACATGTCTCATATAATTTGCAGCATAGTTAGATTTTACTCTTTCTTTTTTCTTGCTTTTTTTTGGGGGGTGGTGGTCCTTGAGAAAGGGTCTCACTGCATAGTTCCAACTGGGCTTGAACTCACTTTGTAGCCCAAGCTGACCTCCAATTCAGAGTGATTGCCCCCTCCTCAGCCTCCCAAGAGCAGGGATTACAGTTGTGTGCTACCATGCCTGGCTGGGGTTTTACTCTTGATCCAAATTAAGGATCTTTTGTCCTAAGAAATAGGTTAAACTAATTCACATTCAGTTGTACTTCTGATGTTTGCACTCAACTCTGGTGTATTTTCTAATTACTGAATATTAGGTTATATTTACTGCTTATTTCTTTACTAGGTGTGTCATCAATGTATTGGTATTCAGCAAGATCTTTATTTTGTACCATGATTACCATTGTACTTGTAGCTCGTTTAATGACCGTACTGTCCTATTTCTTATGTAATCTTGCATTTTCTAATCTAGTTTATATTATTTAATTGTGGTGTTACATTTTAATTTTGATTGAAGTATAAGTGGAAAGGGAAGCAGTGTATTAGAAGGAGCCTCCAAGAAGAGTACATAAGATTATAGTGCCACAATTCAGGCCCTGCCCCGGGTCCCTCACTGGTTTGCGTGCCACAGTGCTTTGGGTTTTGTTTCTCTGATAACTGTCTTCCTAGGCTGCCTCTTGCTTCTTTCCCATGTGCTTTCCCAGAGAAACCACCACACCGAACTCAGGTGGTGAGCAGCTGCATGTTACTATTTTCCGCATCAGTTCTGCAAGGAAATTCCATGGTGCTTGAATAGCCTGCCTGCTTATTCAGTGACATCTGACATAAGATTTATTTCTTAAGAGTGCATCAAAGAGAAATACAATCAACCCATCGATTGTAAAAATGTTTGCACACTCTGGAGATGGGGCAGGAGAACTGTTGCTCGTGGGTCACCTGGGAGTCCGGCTCTGTTCATTTGATCAACCTTCCTCTAGCTCTTCTTCTTTCAACTAGTTTTTTCTTCTTCAGTGCAAGCGTGTAGTTTACCTACTGTGCTTTCTTCTGTATCGTACACTTACTTTAGCTCTAGCTCTATGAATACAAACCATCAGTCCTTTTATCAAAGTTACTTGCTGTTGACTGAAGTTCCTTCTCTAGAACATTCCTCTGGTGAGGAACGTGTGAATAATATTCCCTGAATTCTTGGAAGTTCAAAACCGTTGTCCTGTAGACTTAATATTTAAAGAGCTACTTAAGTATGAGGTCCTTGGGTTACAGTTGATTATACTGAGTTCCTTGAAAATACTACGTTGTAACTTGATTTGTATATTGTTCTTACAAATATTAGTACTTGTTTTATTACAGCTTTCTCAGTTGCTTGGTAGCTTGTGTGTATTCCTTTTAAAACTTAAAATTTTAATTAGTATCACATTTTTAAAGCAAGACCTGGAAAGGAATTTAACTTACAATGATAGCTAAAATTAGACTGATAACTAAAATTTTTGTTGTTCCTTCATAGGAATTGAAACCTGATACAGTAACTAAATCTGCTCTTGGTGAAGATATCAGCTTTGAAAAGATCTGCAAAAAGGTATATGTGCAATAGATTGTATTTGTTTATGAAAAGCTTTTTAATTCTGTCCCTTACTGTTTTTCATCACCTTTTTCATTTGAAGAGAAAACTTACCAGGACCCAGTTATTGTAAGTGTACATCTTCTCTGAGCTTCAGTATTGCACTGAAAAATATTTTTATGATGATTTATAACTTTTACTTCGCTGTGATATTGAACTTATTATGGCATTTCATATTTTACATACATCTTAAAAATTAACTTTATTATTTTTCACTAAGAATCTATTCTTCTCCTTTCCAGGTTTTCATAAGTTGCTCATTAATTTCTGGTTTTACTTGTAAAGGATTTGTTTTTATCCCCTTTTTATCCTGGAGGGAAATAGAGATCAAAACAGAATGCAGTTAGCTGGTGATTGCTGTGACACTGTTGGGTGGGCACCCAGGGCTTTGCCCAGGACTTCTGCTCTGGTCTGGGCACTGCTCTCTGTTCGCTGCTGTTTTCCCTTCTGTTTCTTCACTCGTGTTGCTGATGCCTGTACAAGACAATCTGTTGAGAACACTGATTTTTGTTTTCCTATGCTTCTATGGTTTTGCTTTCACTGATTTTTGCATTTCTTTCTCCTCCAATCTTTATATGAAAATACTTGGTATATATCGTGCATCGTTGCCAAGAATTAAAACTAAGTAAAATCTAGATACCTTTGGATGGCTTAAATTTTCCTTGTCACACTCATACTTAAGTGTTTTAGGGCATTGTATTTCTTTCCCCAGTTTTACATGCTACCATCCATATGTGTGCAGTTAAGAGAGAATGTTATGCCCTATGCTATGTGTAATTACTCTTTTCCATTATGGATAGTACATTTTTTTTCTGTGTTCATTTCCTTCTGTCTATTGTACTATGATATTTTCTTGGTGTATTATATATTTATGTTCTCTAGCAGCTGCTTGCCTAGAATTCGTAAGTTTATGTTGAGTATCTATTTTTTCCCTTGTTCTGTTTTTTTTTATTGACTTTTCCCTTAGTTGACTGTATTCTGGGGCCAATAAATTTAGAGATTGATCAAGTCTTTTAACTAAGATCCAAGAACAGTGTACTTGAGATTTATCTAAAGTTAAATAACAATATCCTTTAAAAGTAAACCTGAGAACTTTGATGAAATTGAATTAGGGCTCTCTTTTCAAGAAGAGTAACAATACTAGCTAAAATACTCATGCCTTAAGGAGTTACTTTCTTCAGTTCACTGAGAAAGTTAGTATTGTTAAAAATCTCTATTGCCTTCAATGACTGGCTTTATTATTTATGGTTAATTACCATAAATTAAGAATGTAAGAAAGTATAGTGCTTTTACCCTTCTGTGGAAAATATTTCATTTTTCAGCAAGTAATTCAAAAACCTTAGTGGAGTTTATGTATAATAATAATTAAGTGTTGAGGCAAGGGATTTAACTCAGTGGCACAGGTGCCTGCCTGGCAAGTGTGAGGTGGTGAGTTCGATCCCCAGTGCCAACAGTAGTAGTAGTAATAAAGTCTGGAAAATGTTTTATTAGCTCCAAAATACCCATTCAAGAGTTCACCACAGTACTTCTGGTCCAACCAAATGGATTGCTTCCATTTATTTTTCTAAATATTTTGGAAAATGAAAGTGTTAATTGTTGAAGTACAGCTTTAGGTAAAACCTAGAAGTGAATCAAAACACAGTGTTAAAAGCACTGGTACTAAATTCTACTTCTGCCAGTTGACTTAGAGTCATTTTATTTTTATCAATATTTGAAAGAACTAATACTGCATGTAATAGTTTTGTTCAGCTTTTATTGTTTTCTTTGGTGTATGTGTGTGTGTGTGTGTGTTTAGACTGTTACTTAAATTAAGGGGTACATTTTGAAAATTCCTTGCAAAATAAACACTAAATGCTTTTATAATAACAATAAACACCTATTTTCCATTAAAAGCGTGTTTTCCACATTTTCATTGGAAGCTGGAGGCATGTGAAAACCACAGTTTACGGAAAATTTTCCATGGCAAACATTGGGTCAATGTTAAATAGGCAAAGCAGTGGTTTCTTTCATACCTCCCAGTATTGTGAAGGCCTCTTCATGCAGGTGCAAAAGTTTCCGGTTCATAGACACTACTTAGTAGCCTTTTAAGGTTCAGAATAACTTACTTAGTAGCCTTTTAAGGTTCAGAATAACTTACTTAAATTTAAGACGTATTACTTTATTGTATTCCTTACATAGCTGCATAACAGTTTCCGTCTCCTAAATGAAATCTATCAAATTTTGCCTTGGGCAAGTCATAATCACATCCTCTCACCCACGATTTCCAAGCCCTCTTTCCCATCTCCACAAAGTCTGCCTTTCTGTTTCTTGTTATCTCTTTTATTTTGCTCTTTAAAATATTTATATTTTGGGTTTCTGTGTGTGTTTAATCTTCTCTGTCTGATTTCTGTCTTTTCCCATAGGGTGTTGAGACATGCCCCTTTTCAAACTACAGTGGCCGAGTAGTATGCTGTATGTGCTCCTCGTTTCCTTTATCCGTTGGTTTGTTGCTAGGCATATAGGTAACTAAAATTTAGCTAGTGTGAATTGCAGTACTGTAAACATGGGTATGCGTTCATCATTTTAAGATGGTTTTTTACCCTTTCTAGAAGATATAAGAGGTATAGCTGGCTCAAATAGAATTTCAGTGTTTAGTGTTGTTTTGATTGACATTTCTTTAATAGCCAAAAATGCTAAACATTTTTTTGTGTACTTACTGGCCATTTGTATTTCTTCTTTTGAAATTTATCTATTCCTTTAAGTTAACTCAAGTTTGAGTGGATCTTTCATTTCAGGGGTCCAATTTTTAAGTTAGTGACATTGTGTAAATGATAGTTGCGTCCACGTGTGTAAGATGACACCTTTACATTAGTGGGCTTAGTAAATTTAAAGAGTACTGATATGAGGGAAGAAAAGGGACTGAGAGAGATAGGAAAAAAGAAAATGAAGACTGTTCATGGTACCGATTGCCTTCATTCTCGTGAGTTCTACACTTACTAGTGCTGCTGTGCATGATGGTGCATACCTATAATCCCAGCACTCAGGAGGCTGAGGCAGCAGGATTGCCAGGAGTTTAAAGCCTTCCTGGTGAGTCCAAGACCAGCCTGAAATGCACAGTGAGACCCTGTCTGAAAACAAACAAAATAAAAGAAAAACAAAACAAAGGAGATAAGAGGGCCGGGGTTTAGCTCAGTGGCACAAGTGCCTGGCATGTGCAAGGTTGTGAGTTCAGTGCCTGGTACCAAAACAAACAAAAAACACAGTGCTGTTAAGAGAGATGTAGGCACTATACAAACGTGATGACAACCCAAACATTGTCAAAAGAAGGAATCTGAGCACATTTGCTTTACAAACCTATTTTAATGTTTGTGTTTTTATTTCCTTCCAAAACATTTGAAGAAGGCGCTACACAGTTGTTATGTAAAAAATGTTGGGAATGCAGCGATAAGTGAAAGTTAAGTTCAGAAAACAGTTTAGTAATATCTGACTAAATTCAGAGCCCCGATCTTGTTCATAACTGGCTTCGTATTCTAAAAATCAAGTCTGGATTGTCAGACTTTTGGATAGATAAAACCTTTGGCCTGTGTCACCTTTTAGCCCCTGTTAAAATTTAAATTTAAAAAAGTTAACTGAAGAATTTTCTACAAATAAAATTCTTTTTTTTTTGGTCTTTTTCATTTTTATCGGTACCAGGGATTGAATTCACCACTGCCTGCTGGCAAGGCAGGTGCTTACGCAGCTGAGCTAAACCCCAGCCCCTACAAATAAAATTCTTAATAAAATAAAAATTATTTTCTTAATGAGCCAGATGTGGTGGCACTTACCTGTAATCCCAGCACTTGGGAGGCTGAGGCAGGAGGATTGTTGTGAGTTCAGAGCCAGCCTGGGTTACATAAGCGAGTTTGAGGCAAGTCTGCACTACATAGTGAGACTCTACCTCTAAATAAATAAGTAAAATTAATGAAAAATTTAGAATGTTAAATTAGCTTCTTAAAATTAAATGTTTAAATATTAAATTTTACATTTTTACTCAAGAAAAAGTCTAAAAGTTTATTTAAATAATTACTATAGTTTAAAAAATTGATATTCCAGCACATTAAATGTGTCACATTTTGTATTGGTCTCTTAAGAATGTAAAATTTACTTCTCAGTGTCTACAAAGCATTTATATACATTTGTCAGTAAGTTCTCCCATTTGTACTGTATTTCCCCACTAGGATATTAGGTGAGGGGTTAACCAGAAATCAAACACTCTTGCCAGGCAGGTGCTGTACCACTGAGCCATAGCCCTGCCTCCGCAGTAGGATACTTTTCTACTTTCAGGTAATGAGCAACTCAGAATTGAAAATCAGTAATAGGAATGAATATGAATTAAATAAAAATAGTAGCTAAATACAGAAACTTCAAAGGGCACGTATGTATGAAAGATATATATGTATTTTGCAATGACTTCTGATGTTTGTGAATACCTGAATTAAATAATTTTCATTTCAATAAAAGGTTCAATTCTGTATTATAACATTACATAAGTTGTATAATTTATAATAAATTTATTGTTATAATAACAACATTGTAGTTAAGCATAATTTTTTCCAAGTTAACAGTTTTGATACACTTCTATTAAGTGGTAGGTAATATTTTTATTATGAGTTGTGTTCTCACTGTCTGCCAAAATTCCTGTTTAGTTAAGTACCTTGTTTCCTAAGAGCTTACATTTCAGCTAGTGTTCCCTTGGCACTAGCTGATTTACTTTGAGACAGATTACTTACCATCTCTAGGTGTCGTTTTTCCCATTTCTGTAACAGGACCCTTTCCAAATCAAACATTTTGGTAATATGTTTTAATCTCCCCTCAGTCATTGTACCAGATAAAAATGATAGAATTCATTCTCTGAGGTTAATACTAATTTTGCCCCAAAATTAGATATATTCATGCACCTTATCCTACTAAACAAGATTTTTATTTGTTATCTATGTTTTTTCATATTTTAATGTGACAAGAATAGTTCATTCTGTAAGGCCATGGTATGTGGTAGCCAAAAAATTTCCAGTTTAACAATTCCAAAGTATAAAACATGTGAAGAACAAATAAGGGTAGGAAGGGAGATAGGCTTTCTGGACATGAGAGGAGATCTAAGAGGGAAGACAGAAGGAAAGAGAAAAAAGGGGAAGTCAAAAGGATCAATGTTTTATTTATTTATTTATATACTTATTTATTTATTTATATATATATATGATGAGTATATGTATTATGTATTCCAAACATACTAATTTTTTTTTTAAATTAGAAGCACTAAGTACTGTTTGAAGTGTTTATACGGAGATACCATTATGATACAAAGTAGATGTAGTATATACCAACAAGACAACATTTTTGTTAAATAGATTCCCAGTTAAATGAATAAAAACATCAACTGTTGCTCTTAAACAGAATTATGTTGTTTGATCGATTTTTCATGCCTGTAGCATGCAGTAGGAGCAACTGCTTTGCAAATAGCAACACACAATGTACTAACCATTGTTACTCACCTACCGTCTTACTTTGAAATTTCATACCATTTTTTTAAATTGGGGTCTTCTTTAAAATAAAAAGAAATAAATATAATTACATTTCTACATGTGTAACACTGTTATGTGAGCCATTGTTGAGGACATGGGTACTAATCCATGGTGTAAACCAAATTTTGGATTTATAGTTACTCAAAACTTGCCCAGAGATACAGAATGTGTTACAGGAAGTTATATGCCCAAATATCACCCTTTTCCTGAATAAGCCATTTTCTAAGAAGCATAGAACATCAAAATATGTTTTATATCTCCCTTAAAGGCTACTACCCCATCAACAAAATGCTTATTAATAGTCCTCTTGAAAGACTGCAACATGAAACCACAGTTGCAGAGTAAAAACAAATTAGAAGATGTTCACTCATTAAATTTATAAATAATTTTAGAATTATAGTATCTTACTGTGGTCTTTTTAGTAGAGTTTATTGAAGTGAGATTACTAAATCCTAGACAATCTGAAGCATCTTGTAAGGCTGGGAAATCACTTTGATGAATAAATGTGATGATAAAATGATTAATAAAATAGTGTTCACTCAGAGTCAGCACTGAACATTCAAGTATTTTCATTGCTCTTCTAAAACTTTCTATAACTAAGAAGGATTTGGAGGTGATGGTAGATGTGTTTTTTTGAACAGTTATATAAGAACACATTTTAATTTGGAATTCTTGAAATTTCTTATCTAAAACATGAGATTAATTTATATGAGAATAATTAACCTCATTTATCTGTTTTACAAATACAGATGTTCCTATATTGCAGATTGCCTTTGAAGTGAATTTGTAATAACTCTAAGGAAGAAAGAGACATTAAGGATGCAGTTAAGGGTAAACAGCTTATGTAAAGTAGCATCTTCTTGTCCTTTGTCACCTGAAAAGCAGTTTCCTGAGGAATGCATAACATTTGTCAGCACTGATTGTTTTCATGTCATTGTGTTTTGTTTTGTTTTTGTTTTGTAGCCCGATTCTACTGCATCTGAAAGAGCAATTGCCCGACTAGCTGAACACCCTTTTCTGAAGAAAAAAATAGATACACTGAAAGGTACGCATAAAATGACTTTTAAGTTATATACATATGTTTAAGTTATACACTTGTGTGTGTGGTTTTGGATAAATGACTTCATTAATTTTAAATATTTTGTTCTTTTAGCTCTTGAGGATATTTTGTATTGTAAACGTAAGGTTCTTTTCAACTATCTATAGATAAAAGAAAGTGCTTGGAAATGTTAGGTGTCTGATAGCTGAAGAAAAACTAAATCCATATTTTTTCTTAAATTTTAGTATTTTAACATGTATAATATATAAAATATATTTGGTATGTGATATATACATGATCAAGTCAAATTAGAACTCATTACTTTTTTTAGTTCATTTCTTTTGATTTTGCCAGTGTCATACATTTATTTAAATATATAAATACTTGAGTGCTATTATCATAGATTATTTTTATATCCAAAAGCATATTTTATAAAATCCAATACATTATTACCACAGAAATTAAAGTTACTGTTTTACTGTATTTATAGTCAGTGATATTTTCACTGTTCCTCCTAATTTTAATACATGAACAAAGAATGAATTCTTTTCACTTGGCAGCTTAAAAATGGGTATATTTGAATATGTGTTAATATAAATTCCAACTATTTTCTTAAAAGTTTCCAAGTAATTGGGGTTGGGAATTTAGCTCAGCAGCATAAGCGCCTGCCTTGCAAGCAGGCGGTCGTGAGTTCAATCCCCGGTACCTATAAAAAAAAATTTTTTTTTAAAGTTTCCAAATAATGAAGAAATAGTATATTTAAACTGATACTTGTATATTTCAATGCAGACACATGTCACCAAGTCATGTACTGTTTTTCTTGCAGCTGCTGTCCAGGCATTTAAAGATGCAAGACAAAATGGTACTGAAGTTAAGAATACCACAGAAGAAAATCATTCTAAGAACACTTTATATTCAGTTGACGAAGAAAGTAAGTCACAACGTGAAACAACTAAGATCACTGATCAGAAAGGAAAAGAAGCTAAAATACAGGCAAAGGAACTAATAAATAATTCAAAAGAAAAAAAGCCCAAGATGGAACATGGACCCAAAGCAGTGAACATTTCCAGTTCTCTGTCGAAGCTTTTAGAAAAGGAGTCTGTAGCTCCCTCGGAGTCCCAGAAGACACCTGCTGACCCACACATGAAAGCGTTAAGTCACGTAGAGAAAAAGAAAGGGTCAGATAGCTTGCGTGATGATAACAGCGATAGCCAAGAAGACTTATGTGAAGAAGAAGAAAAGGAGTATTTTGATGATAGCACAGAGGAGAGGTTCTACAAACAGTCTTCCATGTCTGAAGACAGTGATAGTGGTGACGACTTCTTCATTGGGAAGGTCAGGCGAACCCGAAAGAAGGAAAGTGGTTGCTATACTTCGGCTGCGGAGCACAAACCTCTCCAACAAGTGTTACCCAAAGAAGACATGCGTGCAACCCACTGGGATGGGGATGTAAGAAATGACAAAAATAAGCCAAGTACGGAGGCCAGGAAGTTTGAATCAGTGTTTTTTCACTCTTTATCTGGATCTAAAAGTTCTAGAAGGTAATTTTTCATTCTGAAATAATTGTTCTTATTTTTTAAACATAAGAAATGGGCACACATTTTCAACAGGGAGGAAAGACGCTATTAATGGTTTGAACATCTTAGTTTTATAGACTCTGGCTTTTCCAACTTTATGGGGAGATAACATATATAAATATACATATGGCAATGCCACATTTCTCCCACATTCATCATAAAATGAGATAGTGTAGCTTAATGCCTGGCAAAGTTTTGAAACTTTGAATTAATTTTAGGTGAAGAGCTTTACAAAAAATGTTTTTTATATCTGTTTAAACAAACTTTCTGAAAAGAGTGTTTTTCCTTGATGACACAGGACCATTACTGCAGACATCAGTGATGTTACTGTGTATCATGTGACTAGATAATCCTCCTCCAGTCCATAGGCTGCTTGTCTGAACACTGAGTTCCTCCAGACTACTTTACATGTGGTGATACTGCTGTCCTCATCCTTGCTGCTATGGCCCCTTGTCATAACGATTCACCTGGAGACTTAATTCCATTCAATATTCTGCTCTGAGTGAGATAACATCGTATTTTATAGTAAACATCATGGTTGGGTCATTTCTTCAGTAACAGCTGTTTTCTACAGTAAACTGTTTTATTGTGTATTTATGAGTCACAGATATTCTCTTATGAATAAGAAATGTGGTAGAAAAACTTTCTAAAGAAAGATTATAGGAAAAGCCACCAATATCTTTGCAGCCTTAAAAGTAATTACAATATTTAAACCTTCTAATTCTGCCATTGTAGGCTATACTTTTTATTTATTTGAAATTAGCATACCACTGTCCCTTCTAACAAACTATAAATCTTAATTTTTGTTTTTATGTGTCTCATTGTCCCTAAGAGAAGACTTGAAATTTTTCTTCTAGATGTCCCTTAGAGCGAGAACAACATAACCAAAAGAGAACAGTTTTCAATTGAACAGAACTACCGATAAGGGTGGAGAAAGAAATAGTCCCTGTGTATCTGTGGTAATATTAAAATCTAACAAATCTTTGATGTAAACTCCTTTATTAATTGTTAGTGGGTGAAGGAGTATAATAGTCCTATAGATGAGCTTTGTTGTTTTCCAAAATTCAGAGGATTGATTTATCTTTTAAAAATCATAATGGTGTTTTTCTTTCAGAGAGTATAGAGAACAAGCTCCAAAAAGCAAAGTCTCAGGTATGTATGAATGTCCATCCTGCACAAATGGGCAGCACTTTGCCAAACTGGAAGGATGAAGCATTAAAATGGCTTAATAATTTGAATTTTTTTTTTTTTCCTCTTTTTGAGACAGAATCTCACTGTGCAGTTCAGGCTGGCCTTGAGCTCAGTTTGTACTCAGGCTGGCCTCGAACTCATAATGATCCTCCTACCTCAGCCTCCCAAGTGCTGGGATTACAGGTGTTCACCACCATGCCCAGCTTAATTTGGATGAATTTATACCCATAGAAACCGAAATAGCATCATGTAATTATCAGTATAATTTAAATTTTTTATTGGTTCTTTTGTTTGGTGGGACACTTTCTTAATGTCATGTAATTAAGACCACACAGCATATCTCCGGAAGCATTCAATAAACATGTTTTACAAGGGATAGAAAACCTGTGTTCCAAAATTGACTGATCATGTGTAAAAGTTGAACTTCAGGCTGTTTCCTGTTAAATTTCAGTTTTTAATTGTGAGATATTACCTTTAAAACAAAATTTCTTCCTTTAATAATCCCTATAAAGGAGTTGAAATCTGTTTCTTTTGTGTACTATTTAAGTATAGTTATTATTTTTGGTTTCTCTTCATAGATTTTCCAGAAAATGAACCTCCAGTTAAGAACCAGTTTAAGAAGAACACACAAAGAAGACTTGAAAATACAAAACATCCATTAAACGTGCCTCTGCATCCTTCATGGGAAGCAAGCAGAAAGCGAAAAGAACAGCAATCTAAAATTGCTGTGTTTCAGGGGAAAAAGATTATATTTGATGACTGATTAGTCCCTTTTTTTTAATGAACTTTCTACCTAAAATATTGCTTCCCTTTTTTTCCCTAACCTGTTATTTCAAAATTTTTTTTATTCTCTTTGGATGACTTATAGATGTTTGCTCTTTATTTTTTAAGTGAGTTTGTGTTTACATAAATCTTTTATAAATTGAGTACATAAATAAATTCATTTTTAACAGTATCCCCCAGGTTATTTTTTCTGTAAGAAAATCTGGCAGTTGTAGCAATTAAGCTTTTCTCATTTGGGCTTATGAAGTATATTTTCATACTTCAGCTTTGACATATCAAGTTGTAGTTAAAATAATGATGGATACACATAGAAAATCATAATTATTTAAAATAGATCACCTTTCATATAAGTTATTCTTGTTAGCAACCCAAAATAATAACTCTTATTCTGGATATACAGATAATATTATGTAAATAACTTTTAATTATACTTTTAATTATTTGTGTTCCTATTTTCACTACCCTAAAATATTTTTTTTCAGCACAGTATTTGTTAATTATATCTCTGTCATTTAGGCGAACTGTTTAAAAACACAGCAAAAAATCAGTTTTACATTTTACTGTATAAAAATCAAGAATGTATACCAGGCTATTTGACCATTTAGTCTCATAGAAGCATTCTTTGAAGAATCATAGATTATAATTTGTAGAACAAATTCTAGAAGGAGGGAAATTGAAAGCCTTTCCACTGATGGCTGAGTGGGAAAGTTATAAGTTTACTCCCAGAGGAGGGGCATATATATATATATATATATATATATATATCTCGAGAGAGAGAGACAATAGGATACTGTTATTTAAAGGGAAAACAAGAGTTTACACTTACCTTCAAATGTCATGCTTTGTAATACTCTGTCATTGATTAAACAGTGATAACTAAATCCTGTGTTTATTTTTTTATGTTAGTGTTAATAATGGAAGGGAAGGTCTTCTGGTTAGCCTGAATATAACAGTTTTCAAGAGTTGTCTCTATCTCTTTAAATGTTTAAAAGTTTAGATTACTAGAAAAATGGAGTTGAAGAGATTATGCAGAAAGAAAATTGTTGTGTTTACTTTTTGTTTTCAGATAATTTCTCAGTGATTAAAAAATGAAAGAATGTCTCTGTACCAACCCAAAATTTGTCAAACTATAGGTTTGAGAGCTCTGTTTCCAGACTGCCAGGTCTGCCCAAGACTTCTTGCCGCAACCAAAAGAAATTAAGGAATGTTGCTTTTTTTGGCTGCCAAATTTGACTACATAGAAAGTACTGTTGGACTTTTTTCAAGATTGCAGTAAAGTTACTTAAACTCAGATCTGGCCTTTTGAAGTGTGTGCTTTTTTAGAATAGAATTAGAACAGCCATTAGTCTAGCCATGATTCTCACTTGGCAGTTTTGCCCCACAGAGCACATGTGGCACATCTGGAGATACAGGAGTGGGGGATGAAAGAGGAGGTGCTGCATCCAGTGGGTAGAGATCAGGGATGCAGTTGAATTTCTGCAGTACCAAAGCAATAGAACTTTCAATCCCAAAATATGTAACAATGCTGGGGTTGAGAAATCCTGGTCTGGGGCTCATTTGGTCCCATAACAGTACTGAGTGATACTTCCTCTATTAGGAAATTCTGTCATGGCAAGTAAGATCATTGCCTATACCTGGGCCTCTGTAAGTAAATTGGGTTCGTTAACAATATTGGACTCCAAAGCAGCCAAATTGATAAATTTGGAATTTAATTAGCTGAGCTCAGTGACCACTCTGGTGGACCCATGTCAGAGTCTTACTGAGTGGCCCTGAACTGGAAAGTTGCAGAATTTTTAAAATAGAGAACTACAAAAAGATATCTTACATAAATTTTTGGTTGACACCTATATCTTGCTTCTTTTGTTGAGCAGGTTAATTTTCCTCTTGTGGGTACAGCTCATTCTGCTTTTCTCATGAGACCTATACCTTGAGTAATTTTCCATTCTTCTGGGTCAAATACAGGGCACTAGTTATATGCAGGGTTCAAGATGGTGGCAGTTATGCCAATCTATAAGAGTAAGCTCCTGGGATTGTTCAGTTTCAGCCCTACCTTTCCTCCACAGCCTTGGAGATTTCTCATTTACACAGCACAGGAATTTGCTAAAGACTTCAGGGTACTCTTGTAGGGCTCTTTTTTTTTTCTCTTTCACATATTCTTCCTCCCCAGTATTCTCCTTCACAGGTTGTAATTATATGGTCCTGCATGAATCCTGAATCCTAAAAGTAAGAATTCAGTAAGTAAGGCCACTAGAGCTTCTTTGGTGTTTCTTCCCTTTTCATTGTAGCTTGGATACTCTTCTTAGGGGAAATGAGATACTTGTAGCAATCAATGTTTTCCTTCTTTTGAGTACTCCTATCCTGTGCTACCTGTTGTCCATTGTCTGAATTCTGTTGTTTCATATATTTTGTGCAGTCTTTTAGGTATTCAGTATACAAGGGCAAATCCAGTCCCTAATGATCAGAAATAAAAGTTGTTTGTTGTTTAAATTTTGACACTACAATTGCACATAATTTATCTAATGGGAGACTTTTTAAGCTCTCTTCTGTCCTGTTGACACATAAATCTTCTCTCTTACAGTACTGAATCTGGTTCCCGTTACTCAGTATATTTAAGTATTTGCTTAGTTCTAGAATATACAGAAGTTAATCTCAGAACTGGTATCTGATCTCTCTTCAAGAAAAGAGATATCAGCTACCCAACTTTAATATTCATTTAGTTAGTTTTTTTTTTAAATGGGAGATATTGTAAAAGTATGTGAGCTTCAAAAAACAAAAAGTATGAATTATGAAAGTATGTTATAAAAATATGTTTTATATAACATGTTTTTTATATGTTTATATGTTTGCATGTAGAAGCAAAAGTGGCAAAATAAGAGTATCTGGAAATTTTTCTCTGGAAAAGCAGTTATAATACTCTCCAAAGTATTAGACTCAACCTTTTTTGAGAACTCCATAATAATCAAAAGTTTACAGCAATCTGAGGAATATTTATTCAAGAAAAATGTGTAAATCTTGATGCTAATAATAATTGTTGACACATCTTCACTTGCCCTGTTTCCAAGCCCAACTCTGCAGACCTGTGGTAGTCTTGAAAACCAGCAGCCTGCAATCAAAGTGGAAACCAGCAGCTTCACAGTCACTGGAAAGAGCAAAACAGGTCTGGAGGGTCTTCCCAGGCACACCCTAAGAATTACTGTTATGTGACCTATGTAGTTGTATGGAGCCACTCATGAAGCTGTCTTCATTTGATGTGAGTCAGAGCTTGCTCAGTGTGATAATCCTTTTCCCTAAGACAGCTTTTCAAAAACCACCAGACAAGGCTGCTACAGATAGCATATAAGTGTTTAAATAAACCATAAGTTAATAAGCTTAAAAGGAAATCTGGAAAATTTAACATCTATAGGGTGCTTGAAAAGTTGTGGCGTATTTCTCTCAATTGGATGTAGGAAGGCTGTGCACATAGTCAAGAAAGAGCTGAGGACAATAAACTCACCACCAGATGAGTTTGAGACCCTGCACAAGAAAGAGAGAGCTAAGAGAATATTATATCAACGTAGGTACACTGGGAGTCTCATGTGACTCAAAATTGTGACTCATAAATGCACCCAAAAACTTGAAAATGTGTTTATAACTGGAATATGAATGTATATAGTATACAAAAGAGCCCAAATGTCTGAATCTGGTTATTTTTATGATTATGTTTTAATGCCCTCACTTTCCGATCTAATTTAGAATCTCTTAGCCATCTTTAATGAAATCCTTTAACTTTCCTTTGTTGCCTAACTGCCAGTTAATGAGTTTTTTTACTTTCCTCTGTGGAGAACCACAGAGGAAAGAAGAGCAGCTATCTCCAGTTTGAATAGACTTGGCCCTGTCTCCATGTATTGATATGTACAGAGCTGACTAGGCTATTTCTTTGTCCCTTCAATTAGCTTCATGCAGTATGAATTGGGCTGGCTGAGGAGCTGATGTGTAATCTTTGAAGCAAAGCACTGTTACCCTGCCCAGTGACTCCCCAAATATATGGTTGAGCCAGGCATGATGGGAGTGTTGTTCCACACTGTCAGCGAAGACCAAGACTCAAGAAAGAGGCTATGACTTCCCAGGGCAAAAAGGATTATACATTAGAACTTGAAGCACCGACCCCAAATTATTAGATACTACCTCAGTTGTGTTATGCAGATTACTCTATGTTTCCTGCCCCCTGCATACTGCAGAGGTGATCTCAGGCCTCCTGCCTAGCCTGGCTCAGGGCAGTCATGTGTTTCCTGTCACTCTCACTGTCCCCAAGCCACTCTCCTCATGGCAGATTAATAAAACTCGGGTTCTGGTGAACCAGCATCTTGGCTGGGCTTAGGGCCCCTGGGCTCCCCATAAGTGTGTGTATGCCTTCCTGTCTTTATTCTCACCATGGGGTGCACTGGAAGTGGTAGATTGGAATTAACTCACTAGAATTCCAGTAACTGCTCCCCTGGATTATAAACATAAACTTTCCTGGGCCATGTCAAGGACCGGAAAGGGATCTGTACATCCTCTACTTCCCTTCTCTTATTTTTGTTACTTTTACTTTATCAGAACATGTAACACATAGCAGTGTCACTGTATTACATGTTATTATTCTACCTGTCCCTATCTTAGTTTTATTCTTAAATTCTGTGTTTAGTATATTAAATACTAAATTTTTAAAGTTCCTTCCATCATGTTTTGATTATTTAAGAGTCCTCAAAACTCATGAAAAGAATTTTTTGAGCACCTGTTCTTAAAATTGGTCAAGTTTTGATGCTTATAGAATGGTAGCTAGATCTTGTGATTGTGGTTTTTGTGCTACCACTTGTAGCAGCAAACCTTGCATTGTTGATGAATCCTTGTCTGTTTTCCATGTATTTATTTATTTATTTTTAGGATATATTTGCAGTGAAAGCAGTTGCAGCCATTATGGGGAATGGGTGTGTGTACACAGAAAAGCTTGTTCCTTTTTTTAATACCTTTCCCCTCTCACCTCTTGTCCTCCTCTAAATCCCCTTTCCCCATTTTCATTCTTGTTGATACTACTGGTCTTACCTTACTTATGATATATGATGTTTACATTCTTTGGGATTATTAGGTTTCTAAGTTACTAGGCATAACTTTATTCTACTACCCCTGTCCCCATGTATGTTATCATATAATCATGGAAATGTTCCCAGAGCCTTTCTGGTTATCTCTTTGTCTTATCCAATATATTTAAGTTATAACTAGTAACTTGTCTTACCCATAAATTTTTTCCCCAAAGCTTTTTTGGCTGTTCTTATGCCTTTTCTTTATAAGTAATTTTTAAAATCAGCCTATCAAATTTTAAAATTATGTTTAGGTGCTATCATTGATTACTCTTAGAAATTATATATAAGCTGGGAAGTATGCGTTTTTCAAACATGTTCTCTTTGTTGCTCTCTAATTAGTTGTGTACAAAAATTGAGTCTGTCTCTATGAATGGGCCTAAGTTATAGAATTATAGAATTTTTTTACAGGAACGTATCAGTAACCTAAGGATGATATCACCCTACAGAGATTAAGTAGTCTTAAGTTGAATACTGGAATGTTGTTTGTACTTTGAACATGTGTTTCTCTTCAAAGAAAAACTTGTTTTGAAAGAAAATCATTCTCCATGTTGTTTGCAGAATAAAATTAAAAGGATGTTTTTCAGTAAAGCCAGCCAAAACTTGGAGGGTCAGTGAAGGAAGGAGGGTTATTTGTGTTTATTTTTAAACTAAACATGGTATGAATACTCAGTAGTTAGTTTAGCTCTGTCATGGGCAGAGGTTTATGACCTTCATTAATGCCTAGTAAACAGGTTAGTTCATGCCTGAAATACTTGTGAATTAATTCTGGTTTTTTAAATTATAGGTACCAACTGTGATAAGAGAAAGATTAAATATCCTTAATGCTAGTAAAGGTTTATAATCAATATAATTGCAACATTAATATACCTAGAATGTACTTTCTTGAATACTTGCATTTATTTTGTATACTTTAATAACTAGGTCTCCCTTCCCGAATCGTGCAGATCTCTGATCACATACCAGCTGATTATTGTTCCCTGTTCCCTTTACTTTTCTTCTGTGATGTTGGTTAATTGGCATATATAAATTTACAAGGTCAACCTTCTTCATCTAAAATACAAGCTTTGGAAGTACAAGAAATTTGTTTTCTTCTCTGTCATGTCTCAGTTTTGAAGAGTACCTGTTATCTAGTTGGCATTCAGTTGAATATATTTCTCATTGAACATTCTACAGGCATTTGAATAAATGCTCA